GGTGGTGAGGATAGGAGGCTCTGAGAGCCTGTGAGGCAGAGACCGGCCTCTTCACTCCTCAGGCCTTGAGAGTCCAGGGTCTCTGCCTCAGAGGCACCAGCACCAGAGCCCTATGAAGGCTAAGGTGTCAGCTTCTGGGGTCCCAGTTTCCTTTCCTTGGCTACACTGCTACATGGTCTTGGCGACCATGGAGTGGGGCCTGGCCTTGCTGGAATAGGGGTGGCCTTGAAAACCTGAGACAGGGAAGGGGAGTGGGAGGAAAGGCAGGCATGCCCTGCTAAACCTCCGAATGTTTCTGATGCCTCCCACCCCAGACCACCACACACGCAGCTCAGTACACATTCACTCACACATAAGCTTCCATCCACATGTGTTCTCACCCTCCAGGCGTAGGCGCGCGCGCACACACACACACTCACACACACACACACACACACACACTCACACTCACACTCACACTCCCCTCTAGTGACAGCCTGGCTCCTGCCTTTGGCTCTCCCTTGGCCCTCTTCCAGGGACCATGTGCTGCAACTAAATGTGAAAGTCCTGCTCCTGCCCCTTCTTTCAGCCCCTGACCCAGCTCTGACCCCATTGGGAAGAACAGGGGACTTACCCCCTGGCTCCTCTGCTGTATCCCCACCCCCCCACCCCCCGCCCCTGAACTGACAATCACTTTCTGGGACAGGTTGGGAGTTTTAAAGGGCCTGTGTCGTTCAGTCCCCTCAAAGAGAAGCCCTTGTCAGTGGGAGATAAAAAGAATTCTTAGAACCAACATTAAAACCCATACCAATCTGGAGGGAAACCAAAAATGGGAGGGGACACCTCATTTTTGCTGCTTCCAGAAATATTAGAAACTGACTCACTTGATTGAAAAATGGAACAGCGTGCCTTGACTCGGGGTGGGGGCCGTGCACCAGATGGGGACCGGACCTGCCAACTGCTGCATGGCCTTCAGCTTGGCTGGGCTTTGCAGGCTGCCAGCTGCTAAGCGAAGGTGGACGAACAGTGAGGGGATGGTTTTTCCATTCTAGGCTGACCCCCTCCCCACCTGTGAGCCTCCAGGGGTCCCTTGGATAGTTCAGATGCCCCTTGCCTTAAGCCTCAGCTTCTACAGTGCCTTTTTGATGGGACCTCACTTCCCCAAGCTTCCCTGGTGTGGGCCAGACAGGGGTGGTCTGGAGGTGGTTTCCTTGGCGTGGATTAGACAGGGATGATCTGAGGTTGGGCCCAGGTCTCCCCCTTCTCAGCCCCATAGCTGCTGCCACCAAAACCCCAAACCGGGGGTAGGTGGAAGGGGAGCTGAGAAGGCAGCACCCTGCTCGACCTGTGGCTTCCTGCCTGGCTTCAGAGAGCATAGCAACCTCCCAGGCCTGCTCTCCAGGTTTCTGAGAGCACAGGACGAGCAAGGCCTGTCACAGATGCACCGACTCTACTTGAGCTCCAGAGAGCGCTGAGCTGAAGAGGAAAAGGAGGGGAAGGGTGTCTTCCCCACTTGGGAAGTCAGTATACGGCCTCGCAAGGTCGCCCTGACTCTGTACCCCAGCCTTTGATTTGTGCCAGATCATAGCTGCATTACTGCCAACTGACCTTACGATAATCCTGTGCACCTTCTAAAGATTTATTGTTTTGAATTGCTGCTTTTAATAACATGTTATATTAAAGTTCTAATTAATGTGTCTGACTTGCCATTTAAAAGCTCCCTTTGAGAAGTCGCCTATCTCCCCCAGTGAACTATAAGCAGTTGGGTAGCAGGAGGAATTGGCTCTGGTTTCTGGTCTTGGTTCCCTGGAGACAGAGGAATGGTGGGACCCACCCTCTCCCTGGCCACCCTGCCATTCTTGCCACTGCCTACGAATGCTCTCAGCAGTATCCTCACCCTGACCACCAAGAGGATGTGGGACCTTTTTTCTACTGTGAGTATCTGACCACTGGGGGAAAAAGACATTAGCTGAGGGCCACAGAGAAGTAAAGGATGGGAAGTGAACTCAGAAGTTGCCCCTATTAAAGTACGTAAGTACAGGCACTATCAGCTATTCCGTGCACACAAGCCTAGCGATGCAGAGTGAGTGCTGGGCGTGGCTCTGCTGGTTTGAACCTGCACCACTTTGGTCTGAGTCCTTTGGTTCAGTTCCTCTCCCTTTCCATGGCAGAGCTAATCCCTGCCGGATTCAGTTCCTGGGTGTCGAGAGGGTTTCAAGTAATAACCCAATAAATATGATGGGTTATTACTTTAAATAAACTCTACATTTGGGCAAGTTTGGAGAGAGAAAAAGTCAGCTATAGGGAGGTGACGACCAAGGATCTAACTGAATTCTGTAGTTTCAGGGGTAAAGTGTAGCCCGTTAATTCCCATAAGTGTTCACATCTGCCCTTAAAAATCTTCATTAACTAAAAAAAAAAAAAAAAAATCTTCATTAACTATGGCTTCCACTTTTATCTACCATCCTTTCGCTTTCAACCTTTGAATTGCCCTTGGGACAAAACCACAGTTGGGGCTGGGGTGTTGTGGGGGATGTAGGGATTGCTCTTTGAGCTGACACTGATGGAATGGAAAGACGGTGAATGGCACAGGTGCCAAGAGACCTGACAGCTAGTCCGAGTTCTACAGTGAGCAGCTAAATAGACCCTCCTGGGAACAGTGGTCCTCCCCAAGCTGGAGAGGGCCTGGTTCTTTGTGGTCTGGGTTAGTGTTTACAAATCTACAACAAAT